CAAATGATTCAGCTGACAAAGGGTTAATTTCCATAATATACAAACAGCTCATATAATTCAGTATCAAAAAAAGAATTAACTCAATGAAAAAAATGGGCAGAAAGCCAAAGCAGACATTCTCCAAAGAATACTTACAGATGGCCAACAGGTGCATGAAAAGACGCTCAACATTGTAGGTTATTAGACAAATGCAAATCAAAACCACAGTGAGGTAACCCCTCAAACTGGTCAGAATGTCTATCGTCAAAAAGTCTACAGATAGTAAATGCCAGGGAAGGTGTGGAGAAAAGGGAACCCCCCTACACTGTTGGTAGGAATGTAAACTGGTGCAGCCACTATGGAAGACAGTATGGAGGTTCCTTAACAAACTAAAAAAGAGAGCTATCATATGATCCAGCCATCCCACTCCTGGGCATGTATCTGGAAAAGACAGAAACTCTTCACTTGAAGATACCTGCAGCTCAATGTTCACAGCAGCACTATTTACAACAGCAAAGACATGGAAAGAACCCAAATACCCATCAACAGATGACTGGTTTAAGAAAATGTGTATGTATACATATATACACATATACACAATGGAATATTACTCAATCATAAAAAAGAATGAAATAATGCCATTTGCAACAACACAGATGGACCTAGAGATTATCATACTAAGTGAACTGAGATAGAAAAAGACAAATATTATATGATATCACTTACATGTGGAATCTGAAAAATAATACAAATAAATTGACATACGAAACAGAAACATACTTACAGATACAGAAAACACATTTATGGTTACCAAAGAGGAAAGGAAGGTGGGGGAAGAACAAATTAGGGGCATAAGATTAACAGATACAAACTACTACACATAAAATAGATAAGCAACAAGGATTTACTGTGTAACACAAAGAACAATATTCAACATCTTATAATAACTTACAATGGAAAATAATCTGAAAAATATATATAACTGAATCACTCTGCTGTATACCTGAAATTAACACAATATTGTAAATCAACTATATTTCAATAAAACTCATGCAAATAAAACAAATACACTAGCCCTTTTGATATTTATTTCCTTTTTGATAGAGCCTCCAAGAATCTCCTAAATAAAGCTCATGTTAGGAAAAATTATAGGCAGTGTCATATTTTAAACTGCAAAAGCCAACAGTTCTGGAAAGGGAAGGCTGGGATAGTTTCCAATGGTCAAAGCAGCAGCATCTGAGAGTCACTGTTCTAGAATAAAACAGATCCTAGCACACTGGACTAAAAATGACCATGTTCCGTGACTGATCACAAATGCATGGCAGGCACCTGTCTTACTGGGCTCCTTTGACCTCCTCTGCCAGGACTGAGGGTGCCGCCATTTTGTTTAGGTGACAAAATCCTGGCACGACTTTTGCCTGATATTTACAGTAAATGTTTGGTGGAGCCACATACGCCATGCTGACTGCTGACCGACCAAGCTGACCCATGATTCCATTTGTGACACCGTTTTGGTCCAGACTATCACACAAGCTGGGGTCAGAGCTCGCTGGCTGCAGGGTTGGTCTGAATGCCCAAGGAGACTCACAAAAGAGGGAAAGTAAGGAGTTGCTCATATTTACTCTGGAAGACTTCAAAGAAATCCACATCTGACAAGCCAACAGTGTGTGCTGACCATCATACTGTGGGGTGAACGAGCACTCCTGTTCACTGCTGACAGGTACCCATGCTGTGTAAGAGGAGAGAAGAGCCTTTGGAGAAAAGGAAGGATGGACAACTAGGAACGTTGCTCCTTCTGGTGGAAGCAGACATGGAATCCTGTCCACTTGGCTTCTCGGAACTGGCCATCCGCCCTTCTGAAATGAACATTCTGTGCTCCCTTCAGAAGGAATGTTGGCAGGGTCGGGGTGGGAAGGTCTGAAACCATAATACTTGGATGGTTAAATGCTTTCCTTTCTGAGGCCTGACACAGCTGTGACCTCCACTCAGCTCACAGCAAGGACCTAGTTTGGCCACAGGAAAATGAGCTGTTTCCTCCCTTGGGAGAGAGAAAGGGATATACGAAGCCGTGTCTGATAAAAGTAAAGTATTATCTAAAGATGGTTTAGAGTAAAGAAACTTGGAGGCCAAGATGACTAATTTATTCCTTCACTATTTTCTTCAGACAGTAACACTTAGAGAGATCTTGGTCATATATTGGAAGTCACAGAGAACAAATCTTCCATTATTTCTCTCTTGAGTGTATGGCTGGCAGAGCAGAAGAGTAAAAAAACGTTAATAAAGCACTTTCTCAAATGTCAAAATACTTCTAATTGACAAGCACTTGACAAGACATCCAAGCCTCAAACTCTGCCTTTTGTTTAGATACACTAAACTGTAATAAAACACAGTATGTGTTAATGGTTCTATTTTTCCCCTACTACACAATTACGGGTCTATGCCTCCCCCTCACAGGGTATCCTACAAAAAAAAAAAAAAGAAAAAAAAGAAAGGAAGAAAGAGAAAGGAAGGGAGGAAGGAAGGAAGGAATGGGGAAAAAAGGAAGAAAAAGAAAGAAAAGACAAACTTGATTTTCTTAACCTCATTATCAATGAATACAAAAGCATTTACCTTAATCGACAAAAAGGATTCCTTTTCAAAGCCCTGTTCCCCCATGCTTGAGGACATAACTATTTGGGTTGCAGTTTCATTGTATTTTAATAAAACATTGCTGGCTTCACCATTAGGAAGAAAACTCGTTTCATATTTCATTATCTCCTTAAGGCCAACACATCCTATTCAGCAACCAAACTGCTAGTCTTTCTTTTTTCATCACAATGGAATTAAAAGGAAAACAACAACCTGAAAGGAAAATGTCTGCCAACCGCAGTGAGGCCAAATAAATGTTCCCCCTGAACCCACACCACCTCCTTTGTTAGTGGGGTGTCTCTCCTGCACTAGCTCCTTCTAGATAACCTGCTCTGTTTACCCCCAGAGCAGGGAGACCAGATGTCTCAGGACACGACCAGCACCTCTGCCGACCTATTAACAAATGGACACATGACCCAAGGCCAACCAGCAAATTGGTTCAGAATAGCAAATCTATTCAGATCTATCTTCCTGAATACTTGACACAAGACCCAGACTATTGTCAGCTGGTAGCTGGCCGTTGAGTTGAAGGGTCAACTGGTATTAGAGTAACAATATCGAGCCATGCAATCCCCTCCAAGGGAAACCGCACTTGAAACTGGGAGAGAGAAGGAGCCAGTATTTTGCAAAAGTACAGACAGACTCACAAAGCAGAAACTCAAAGATCTTAAGATCTTGCATGGCCCCTCAAAGGCAGAGACTAAAGCTCATGCTCCACTTTCTACTTATAGGCCTGGTCATGAGGGCCTCCCTCGCAGGATGCCCCTGCTATGGTTTCTTGAAAACACTCCTCCTACTTAAGCCACTTTTAATGGGTTTCTGTTTCTTACATCCCCAACAGCCCTGACCAGGACAGCATCCAACCCTATTTCCCCTTCTCCCTACTCTGTGTTCTCTACCCTTGTTAGGAGAATCTCTGGACGATTGCCCATGCCAGCCAGGTTCGTCGTCTTGTTGCTTGTCTTCTTCAGTTATATTACTGATATTTATCACGTAATTTCAAAACTTCCCCCTTCTCAGCCTTTACAGCCCTAGCTGTCAAATTCTGGAGAGGCATTTCTACGGATGGCTCTAATAAGAACCTTCCATTTTTAGACAGTCCTGGTTAATGGCTCAAATCCACGTTCTTACAAAATCCTACCCGCTGTTCTTGGCCCTGTTTCCAGAAATTATGGAGAAGTCATCTATCTACTCTTCTGTCTCAGGGCATGCTGAATTTCTAAGCTTTTACTTTTTTTTGTTTTTTGAGGAGGGGAGCGGGATGTGATTAGGTTTATTTATTTACTTCTTTGTTTAAAAAAAAACCCTTTTTTTAATGGAGGTATTGGGGATTGAACCCAGGACGTCGTACATGCTGAGCATGTGCTCTACCACTGAGCTCTACCCTTTCCGCACATGCTGCATCTCTGATGACTCACGTGTCCCCTCTACTTTTCCCGTCCATCTATTATTCTTCATAAGGTGATTCAAGGCCCCTCATCCCCGGGTAGATCCTCTTACTCTGACGTTGCTCCCAACCCCTTCTCCAGTTCATCAAATCCCTACCCACAGTTAACTGCTCAGCCTGAACCCACCTTCTTATGATGTCTGCCAGGCCACACTCAGGGAGGAGTGGTAGCTCAATGTAGACGTCAACACACGTATGTGAAATCGGACAAACCCAGGCTTGGCTTCTGGCTTCAACATTCACTGACCATGAGTCCGTGAGCATGTTACCCAGTCTCTCCTTGCCACCATGTCCTTATGGGAACCGTCTTACTGCAACATACCCAACTCTCAACGCTGTTGTGCAACAAAGTTGACCAGATGTAAAGTGCTTATCACAGAAAGAAGAGAGCTCATTCAATGGTATTTTTTTCTTTCATTTCTTCACATACACAAATTTCTCTTTTCTGAACTTTGGGTAGTATGCCCTTTGGGATCAGACACCACAGCTTGGAAACCAGTTGTTATGACCCTGGGCAAGTCACCTCACTTCTGTTGTCTCTCCTCTCTAAAACGTGGGTACAAACAGCACCAACCTCATAAGGCTGTTGTTCATGAAGATTAAACAAGTTAACATGCATCGAGAGCTCAAAAGAGTTTCTGGCACAAGAAATCATTGTCTCACAGGATAGCTGTTACCTCCTCAGGATTGAATACTTACAAGATACCTGATTTCATGTCTGCAGTTCTCCTCAGCTAGTTAATTTGCAGCTGAGAAATCATGTTTTATATTTTACAATTCCTGGGTGCAAAAACATGTTTGTTGGAAAAAATGAGAAGAATCAATGAGAAGCAACTGATTAAAAAAAAAACAAACCCTCCTTACTGGTATACTCTAGCAGCGTCAGATAGTTAATGCAACACGAAACAAGCAAAAACAGAAGCCCCATCGGGGGCTAAACAGCTACCTGACGGTAAGAGATGGGGACTGGCCTCCGGAAGACTATCCACTCCACAATCTCGCTGCACGGCGGGGTAGTCAAAGAACCCATGTACCGGTAATAGCTGCCCAGGGATGCAGGCAGGAGGTCCCGGAGGATGAAAGGATCCAGAAAGGTCTCCTTCTCTGTTTGGGGGAAGAGGGGAGAGAAAAGCACCAGAGGTAAGTCGTACTACACTGCAGACACCGTCCAGACCCTCGGCATGCGGGCGCCACATCGCAAGTCTTGTGTTTGTTTGCATCCTGAGAAGCACCAGCATTTGTTGGCGGGAGACACATGGAAAACAAAGCAGTGCTTCCAAGGGTGTGCTCTGAGTACTGCGCTGGATTTCATGAAAAACGGGTTCCATGGCAAGCAACGCTGGGCAGCACTGCAGACCCTTCGTCTTCCCCCAGGAAACAGACAAAACACTAGCCTAGTAAAGTCACTGAGGAGTCCTGCAGAAAAAGAACAGACTTGGTTTTGCTTCACCTGTCCTTTCTTAAACGTGCTTCATCGCAGACCTCTTCTTCATTTAATACAACGAACTAACAATCAGGGGAACAATCTCTGAAACGCTCATGAGACACTTAGTGGGAAAGGAAACGTGTAAGCCAGCAGAAAAGCGCAATTCCAGTTAGTTACACTGCATTATGGTTTCACCCTGCGCTTTCCCAAACCAAAGTGAAACCTAACCAAGGCATGGCCCTGAACTTGCAAAATGATGGGTCTGAAAACACACTTCCTCTTTTTACTGAAGTAAAGGCATCTTCCCTCAGGTAGAGAAATGACATTTAAGCTGAGACCCAGCAAGGATACCTCACAATAACTCTATGAGGAAAACGAGGTCTGGAAGGGCTTATGCCTGCCCAAGGTCACACAGCTCCTCAGTAGCAAAGCTGGGATATGAACCCAGGGATCTTGACACCACAGTTTGCGTAATTCTGATTCAGCTAAAGAAGGACCTGAAACCATCTCAAGTTGTGCGTAGAACATGTGCAAAGGTCATGAGGCAGAAAGAAATAGTGCACCAGAGATTAGTGTGCTGTATTATTACTATTTTGTATTGATGTATAGTTGATTTACAATGTTGTGTTAGTTTCTGGCATATGGCACAGTGATTCACTTATACATATATATATTCTTTTTCATTATAGGTTATTATAAGATACTGAATGTAGTTCCCTGTGCTATATAGTAGGACCCTGTTGTTTATCTATTTTGTATATAGTAGTTTGTATCTGCTAATCCCAAACTCCTAATTTATCCCCCACTACCCCTTTCCCCTTCGGTAACCATACATTTCTTTTCTATTTCTGTGAGTCTCTTTCTGTTCTGTAAATAAGTCATTTGTATCATTATTTTTAGATTCTACATATAAGGGATATCTGTTATCTTTCTTTCTTTGATTTACTTCACTTAGTATGATAATCTTTAGGTCCATCTATGTTGCTGCAAATAGCATTATTTCATTCCTTTTTAATGGCTGAGTAGTATTCCATTGTGAATATATACACTACCTTCTCTATCCCATCATCTGTTGATGGACATTAAGTTTGCTTCCATGTCTTGGCCATTGTAAATAGTGCAGCTCTGAACATTAGGGTGCATGTATCTTTTCGAATTAAGAGTTTCCTTCAGATATATGCCCAAGAGCGGTACTGCTGGATCATATGGTAAGTCTATTTTTAGCTTTTTAAGGAATCTTCATACTGTTTTCCATAGTGGCTGCACCAAATTCCATTCCCTCCAACAGTGTAAGAGGGTTTAGGGCACTATATTATAATTCTCCCAAGCAAGGTCAGTAGATTACCCAGCTTCTTTCACAGATCAGAGAAGGTTTCAGTGACTACCTGCGTCTTGAAACATCTAGCTCTGAACTTAAGTCTGGAATTCCTCCCTCATTCCTTCTAGGGATGTAAAAAGGCTATTACAGTCCTGAAAATGGCTTGCCTTAGCTCCTTGATGCCTTCCTCTGTGGGCCCCTGGACATTTCTCTGGGAACTCAAGGCTCCAGGTTACTTCATGGACACACCTGTGACTTACGGGAACATTATTCTCAAGCCTCATACCTCCTCCCACCTCTTCTTTCATGCAGAACAACCAGTACAGGCATTTGGGCAAATGTGCATCCTTAGACTAAAGAGGTCTATGTAACTGGGGGATGATGAGAAAAACCAACAGAAATCAACTATATTAGAATAATGAAAAAGGTAATTTCTGTTTTATAGAGATTTGATGAACAAAACTTAGTATTTATGTAGCTTTTACCATAGGCCAGGCACTGTTCTGAATATTTACATGCTGCAAACACTTGAACATCTCTTACTGTAAGCGCCAGGCCCTGTTCTAAGGGCTTTATAAAGATTGATTGATTTCATACCTAAAAGAGTCTCATGAAGTCGTACTGTTATCACCCCCACTTTACAGAGCTGCAATCTACAACCAGGTAGCTGAGCCTGGATTCATTGTTCTTATGCCATCACTCTGCCCCTTCACACCACAACCCGATGGAGCATGTACCCGTCACGCTCCAGTTCTACAGATGTGGAGCTCAAGGGGTCAAATTACCACGCCCAAGGTCACGAGTGAACAGTGAAGGGGCAGCAGTCTTCATGAGGCTGATTCTCATGCTTTTCATTTTTTTAAGAGGAAGACTTAAATATTAACTAATAAACGCAGAAGTCTTCAAATCATAGGGTTCTATTATCAAAATGATAAAAGCAATTTCTGTTGGACAAAAGGCTGGGAATAACAGAATTGCCCCTCCGCCCATTGGCAAGCCTGGGCTTTAATTTAACCTGGTTCCCAGCGGCCTAATGATGGGGGAAACCTCTGCAAGCGTGCTTGGCTGGGACTGGCTTGGCCAAGGGGAGGAAAGATTTTGGCCTTTGCTTGCTGCCTCTGCACTTCCTGGGCTGTGCAAATAGTCAACAAAAGGTGCCAAGCAACACAGGGTGCACAGGGCCGAGTGTCACCAACCACAAGGTCACCATCTTCATTTCCCCATCATGCAGCAGGTGAACCTGGCACTACAATGCAGCACAGCAACCTGACTTCAGATCAAGGGCTCCAGACCGAAGGACCAGAAAATCTTTAGAGTTTCCCCCGAGGGGCCTGATCCAATATTAGGGGTGCAGTTAAGCGTGCTGTATGCAGACAGGCAGTAACAAGCCAGTCCCTGCAAGCCTGCGGCGGCGAAGCTCCCGTCTAAAGCACCCACTTGAGGAAGATTGCTGTGGCTTTAAAGAGCAGAGAAAGACAAATCAGAAACACTTGCCCCACCAATCTGAGGCGGCTGGATTTCACAAGTGAGTACTGTTTCAGCAGGAGCAGGACTCTCGTATGAGTTCTTGGACGGGCTCTTGGATTCGCCAGGGATGGACGGAAACTGTAGGTGTGACTGTTTCTACAAACACAGAAGGGCTTCTTGGTCCTGCATCTACCCAAGGGCTTCAGACCTGGGTTTTGGCTTTAACTGATTAGAAGGTGCCATCAGATGGGGGAGGGGGCGGGGGGGGGAGAGCTGGTGAGGGGGATGGGGGGGCGGCTTTACTACTTGCTGGTTCCACCACCGTCACTACCATCACTAGACTAACTAGGTCAGTGCCTTCGGAGCCAAAGAACTCTTTCTTCAAAACAAAACGTTACACGGAGCCAGGCAACTCAAACGGCTGAAACAGCCAGCGTGGTTGAAGCTGTGCTGGGAACCCAGGGGCACTCTGAAAACCCCCCATTTTAGTCCAATTCTATAATTTTATGGCTGGGAAATGGGAGACCAGGGTGAAGTAATGGATGGACCCAAGGTCAAAAGCTTCAGGAGAATATAGACTCGGGTGGGATTCTTTCTTCAGAGAAACCACTTGGGCTCTGAAACACTGGGCCTGGGAGCAGGAAGTATCACCTGGTATCTGCTGAAAACCCAAATCGAAAGGCTGCCTCATTAGCACCTCATTTCTCCATCCCTACAGGGGGTGGTGACGAGAGCAGACTCTCAGCCTGCTGGGTTCAAATCCCAGCGCCTCCACCTGTGTGAGCTGTGAAATCTTAGTTACCAACCCTTCCTAGGCTGCTGTGAGGATTAAATAAATCAATACAAGAAAGGGGTTCAGAAAGAGCTTGGAACACAGAGCATCTCATAAATGATAGATGTGATGCTTCTTCTAATTCTTATTACTTTTATTATTGTTATTTTTATTCCTCTAACCATCAGGAGCTAGCCATGTACGTCTTATACGGCCATGAACTTCTTTCAGTGTTTGTGTGCATGTTTTATTTTTTAACTGGATCAGCAGTGCCTCAAAGGTACCCCATGTCTGACATATTCCCCATCACCCTGAGCAGTATAGGTTAGCGTTTTCTTTCCCAAAGCTCTACCGTGAGCTTGGGAGCCAACTGATACTTAATAGCTGTGTGACCTTAGGGAAAGGTCTTAACTTCTCTGAGCTACTTCCCTTATCTGTCAAATGGGAATATCGAGACTACCCATCAGGGTTGCTGTGACAATTAAGCAAGCTAATCAGTGTGAATGTAATAGGGAAGAACAAATCTGACTCCATAACAGATCTGTTCTTTTAGCTCTAACCCTGTGCTCAGTCATGCTAGTTCTGCACCTTCTGTAACAGAATGTTGCCTGTAGCCTGAAATACACAGGAGAGCCCATTCTCAAGGCTCCGACCTTAAAGGGTATAACACTTTTCCATTCATATAGAGATAAAAAGTTGCAGAATAGAAAAAAAGAAACAATTTGTCTTGTTGGGGGTTTACAGGGACACCATGACCTGACCCACGTGGACAGCTGCAAGAACAAAGGATTCGGACATCAAGAAGTTTCCAACAATCAACCACACCCTCTCCCTTTCTTAGGATAAAAAAGAACCTGAATTCTGACTTGGGGAAGATGGTTCTCCAGGACATTAGCACCCCATCCCCCATCTTCTTGGTCTGCTGACTTTCCAAATAAAGTCATCATTCCTTGCCCCGACACCTCATCTCCTGATTTACTGGCCTGTGTGCAAGCGAGCAGAACAACTTTGGACTCGGAGACATGAGGGGCTTAGGACAGTGTTGTGAGCCCTGATTTATCAAGGCAAGCACTTGACTAAGAGCAGGCCGGCTTATGCTGTGTTTTAAGTCAGCGATTCGC